ACACACACACACACACTTCACACCATGCACCCATGTGTTGCTATATTCCCTTTCACTGTTCTTTTTTTTTTCGTTTTACGTTTGATCTCCAAGAAAGAAAAAAAAAAAATGAATTTTAATTAGTATTACTATCCTGGTTTAGAGTTGCATTTTTTTTTGTGCGGGCAGCTTCTGCTTTCGTATCTTTGCGCTCTCTTGCATGATGACGCCTTGGCGTCTCCTTTTTAGTCCCCACCGCTTTTAGCTGCAGCTATATGGGTGGAAGAGGGCAAAGGTGCATTCATTCAAGAACCAGAAGCGAACAATGAATACCCCTGCATACATACATACTTACGTACCATCAACATCTCTGCTTTAAATACATGTACAAGTATATATCCATTCTCCCCTCATATATGTATATATAATTCAATTAATACATATTTGGTGTGTATATATATATAGGGACTTTCCCTTCGGCCCGAGAGAAAACCGGAGCAGCTGTTGAGGGAGTTCCTTCCAAACGACATATGTGCGATACACACACACGCTCTCATAGTTAGATGGTGTAGAATATATAAAATGCATAAGTCTACGAAAGACACATTCACGCTTCAGCCGTTTTTGTACCTTTCGTTTGCTGCGGTGCATGCTGCTGCTTTCACTCTCTCTCTTTCTCTCTCTCTCTCTCTTTATCACATCACGTTGGGTTGAGCGGAGGCTACCTTCCCACCTCCCTCTGCACACCCCNGGGGGGGGGGGGGGGGGGGAGTCCGCTCACATTCACCACGACACTTATAAAGAAGGAAGAGAGCTACAAGAACAGAGCAAATAAACGAACTGGCATCCAAGGGTCTATGCACGGATGTACGATCATTGTGTGTATTCGCATATATGTATACATAGCAGCGTAAAGGTGTATATGTACGCCCGTATGCATATACATGCGTGTGCGCCTGTGCAGGCGTCGGTGTGCAGCGGTCAATGCGCCCCTCACGTTTTGCTGCGCCGTGGCATGCAGCCCCCGGGGAAGGGCAGAGCCCCCCGCCTAAAAGAAACACACACACACACCCACCCAAAGGGGAAACAAACAGAAAGCAGATGAACGGCTGCCGCCCCCGCAAGGCGCTGCATGAGCCCCATGATACGGCCGCACCGTGCTGCTCGCGCACAGACACACCTCCCACGTTGTGCGTGCGTGTGCATGTGTGTCGCGGACGCGCCGGCGGGACGCCCACCGCCACGCGGCGCGAAGACAAAGAAACGAAGAAAAAAAAACGAATTGGGGACGAGCCCCCACCGGAGTCAACAGGAGCCGCAGCAACGACAAAAAATGAGGAAAACGAAACACAAAACGAAAAGACACACACACACGCACAGTGAGAGAGAGAGAGAGACGCACCCATGCACGCAGAAACACACACGAAACGGCGGGGAGAAAACAACAAACAAAGAGAACAGAAACACGAAATGAGAAGATGAAACATAAAAACAAAAAAAAAACCAAATGAAACATGAAGGGCGGCGTGAGTAATGAAAGAAAATGAAAATGAAAATGAAAAAAAAAAGAAAAACGTTCCATCGCACGGAGGGTGTGGCGTTGGGGGGCACCAGTCACTATACAAAATCCAAATCCCATGTGTCGAGGGGTAACGATTGTCGCTCTCCCACCCGTTTAGGTATCATCACCATTTTTCTCCTCGGCCGTGACCGTAGTTGTCGTCGCTCCTTCGTTTGTTTCTTTGGTTTTTTTTTGTGCTTGTTTTTTTTTTTCGCATATTGGCGGACCGAAAGGGAACGCAAACGTATATATATATATATATATATACGCCTCAAATCCAAATGACTTTTTCTTTTTGGGTGATCTCTCTTTGGCTTGCGGTTGCACACATGCACATGAGCACGTTCTGCGTGCTTGTGTGTCCGTCTTTATTATTGTTGAGCATCATGTTGATGTTGTTCCATCTTGCTTTCCCGCACCAGCTTCTTTTCTGTTCTTTTTTTTTTCATCGTCTTACACACACAACACAAAAAAACAACAACAACCGCCACGTGGCAAAAGAAAAGGGAGTATACATGTTTGTTCTGCACTGCCCTTATCGTATGTGTGTATTTATTTTTCACCTCTGGGTCCGCCGTCATCATTTCCTCATTCCTCTTACACCACTGTTGTTTGTTTCATTCCATTTGGCTGCGCCTTGATGTTCTCGTTTCTGGGGTTTGCACATGCACCCCTGCCAGTGTGACTCGCCCACACGCACACTGCACCTTTTGATCCCCCCTCCCCTCCTTTCGTTTGCCTCGCCCTTTCCTCCACCACCCTCCCCTTTATCCGCAACACTCCCCACCACCATTAACTACTACCCGCCTAAGCGAGACCGCGCGCGCGCGCTATCTCAGTAGATGTAAGGTGGCGGAGGCAGCACGTGCGCCCCTGTGAGCGGGCGGATCATCGTCTCCCACCACTGCTCCGCATCACCAAGCCACTGCCACAGTGGGTAGTTCGGCTGCAGCTCCATGCGGGGGCACCCAAGCGTCGGCCGCGCCGTGATGAACGGCTGATGTTGTTGTTGCGCCACTTGGACCGAGAAGGTGTGGACCCACAGTGTGGACGGAATACGCCAGAGGTAGCTGCTCTCCGCTGCCGCCGTGCGCTCATACCACCGCTGCCCGATGCGGTGTAGCGCATCGGGCGAGAGGATACCCTGCGAGACGCTGTCCGCACAGGGCGGCGGTGGCGGCAGGTAGCGCATCGTCGTCGGCGGCGGCACGTCCGCCAGCGGCTTCGTGTTGCGTGCGTGTTCTCCCGGACGGCCTTTGCGGCGGCTACGCGGCTCGTTCCGCTCTTTTGGCACTGCGGGCGCGATGGTCGTGATCGTCAGTGGGCCTGTTGCGTTTTCGTCAAACAGGCCTATCGCCAGCGGCGAGAGGGCGCAGTTGTGCGGCGACACCGTGGTGCTGATGGGATGCGATTGCGGGCTGAGCCGCTGCGAGCCGCTGAGGGAGTACGGGTCATGGCAGTACCGCTGTGAGGTGGACGAAACAAGCGATGGCTCCCGCATGATCCCTGTCCTGGGAGACGTCGCATAGCATGGGAGCTGCAGCGATAGACTCGATGGTGTCAGCGTCCAATCCCCAATGCCGCTGATGCCGTTGTGGCCAAAGTTGGGCGTGTCTACTGTTGAGGAGAGCTGCCGCGCGACGTCTAAAGTCATCGGCCCGGGGCTGTCACCGCCAACAATAGGGTTAAGCAAGGCTGGCGTGGGGGATCGGCTGGACGCGGAGGGTGCGCTGTCAAGAACCTTGTGTGTGGTGTTGCCGTTGTTGTTGTTGTTGTTACTGCTGCCACTGCCGCTGTTGGTGTTGGTGTTCGCACCAGCATTAGCATTGGCGTTGGCATTGGTGCCGCCTCCGCTGTTGGCGTTGAGGTTGCTCCCCACTGCCGAATTACACCGGCTTAACGGCATATTTGGTGGAAGCGCTTTCAATAAAGGAATGCTATTTCCCACGGTTCCAGAGGAAGAAAACAATGCGGTTATACGAGAGAGAAAATAGAAAATGGGGAACAAAAAACCGAAAGCAAAAAAAA